CATTAAACAGTGACAAAAGTTTCTCTACTTACAAGTGATCCTGCTATTTTGTGGTGTGAATTTGAGGTATATCACTTTCTTTTTTGCGATTTACTCCCTAAACTTTCTGGACTTCATTCTGTTCTGTTTCCTCTAATATCTTACTTTTGTTTACTGTAAAACTGTTGTTTCTTTTCTAACATACACAGTTGTCTTCTTCCTTCTTTGAAATAGTAGTCATCTGAAGTCAGAGGTTGCAGAACTCATAGAGAATTTCTATTTCCAGCTCCACATATTATTGTAAATATGCCCTCAATGCTGCTTCTACTTTTGAATACTACTTCAGTGATTTAAAACAACCTAGTTGAGAGTCATGTGTTCCTAAGATGTGGGGAAAGAAAAACTGAAAAGCAATGTTGCATTGAGAAGCTATGGTCAAGTCCACTCGCACAGTAATGCTGTCAGAGGCAGGTGCTAAGAGGGACTTTGGAGGTAAAATATGTATTAGGGATCAGTAATCAATGCAGCTAGCAGAAGGACAGGTGGTAGAGTGGTGTGTTAAATTGTGATGCAGATAGAAGATATCAGAAGGGAGTTTTATTAGGTGTGCCCCAAGATGGACCCATACTGAAGTCCTGGCACAGAGGTGTGATCACACAGGATCACACAACTGTGATCTTGGGAAAGGAGAAGATTTGCTAAGTGTAATCAATCTAGAAATTACTAACAGCTAAATGCTCTGGCAGGATGGTACTGTCCAGAGTTGGTAAGCAAATATTTTGTGAAGAGATGTTAGAATACATTGTGGACACACTGACAAGTAGACCTCTGAGAAATACAATTGTGTGGATACATTTTACAGTGTATGTACTGTTAGATTTTCCTTAGCAGTTTGCTACATTCTGCACTGGCAGCATTGACTCCTGGAATTTATCCAACCAATATCTCTAGGGCTTTTTCTTGCTCCCTCTCCACCTCTGTCTGACTATCGCTATGTAACGGGGACTGGCCTTGAACTAACAGATACCTGCCCACCTCTGCCTGCTGAGTGCTAGGGTTAAAGATGCCCCCACTGTGCCCATCTAGAGAGCATTTTAATCAAAGCTTAAGCTTCCCTAAGCTTCCTCTTTGTGCATGCATCTGTTATCCTATAGAATAGGTTGTAAACAAATACCGAAATTGAAACGTTGGGCTTTAGCTAGCTCATCACAGGAACTAGCTCAACTCTTGCAACCATAGTTCCAGAGAAGACTGGTTTTATTTCAGATGATAAAATTTGTAGAAAAGCATCTCCTTTGCTCAGTGTTGCTGCCCTCATACATTTGTAACAAAAGAAAAGAGAGTCATGTGCCAGCCTGAAAAAGGCCTCATGGAGTGTCTTCCCTTAGAAACATAAGGAGGGATGGACGAGTGCTGTAAAGATTAGTCAGAACTGCCCTTCCTGACACCTTCATGAGAAAGCAGCTGCTGTAGTGCTTCTCTTCCCACCTCCTATCTCTCTATTCTCACTTCTCCAATCCCCCTTTCTCAATTCCATGCAATGCCTTCCCTTTCTTGATTAGACAGTTTCAATTCTTACATATATGTAAGCCTATTTCCCTCTAGGAAATAAAGAAGGTAGGCACATTGCCTGAAATTGATTACATGTACTACATTTGAAGTCATTCTTTTGAAGTGTCCCTGAAGGTGATTGCACCCAATGGTTCCCAAAGGATGGTCTGACTTTCTAGAATGACTTTATGGAAAGTTCAGTACTGTCTGAAGATTTCTTCCTCCTGGGATTTTACAGATATGCTAACAAAATTCATTGTAGCTTGAGCAGAAGTGTCACCAAATAGCAATTAAAACTTCACCTAAATGGTCTGTCTGGACATCTGAACAACAAAAAAATCATCAAGGCTTTGGAATTTTTTTTTCTATTTCAGACTTGTGATTACTGTCCATTTGGGATTTCAAAGATCCATTGCAGGAGATCAAGTGGCATTTACATTAGTGTCTATTTTGACAGTAAGCTGCCAGCCTGTGAGACAAACTGAGAGCAGAGCTGGGTGACTTCTTCAGGATTAACAGCAAGATGAGAGAGCTCATGTTAGCCCTTGTTGATTACTCTAGATGTGAACTGTGGGCTAATCTGAATTCACCCTAGGATCAACCATAGCATGGTACATAACAAGTATCATCCACATATTTGCACACTTACCATGGTGCAGAGTCACCTGGCATAGCATCCAAATTACACTCAGCATATGCTGTATTCCAATCACATTTTCTTTCCAAGTTTGTACAGATAGCGGAATCCATATAATGAGTGTCAATCATTAGTATTATTTCCCTTATATCATCCTCAGTCCTGAAAGCTTTTTAAGCAGACACATATTGTTTAATTATATGACTGTTACAATTTAATTAGGTACTATTATCCCCATTTTACTGTCAAGAAAATTGTCTCGGAAATTTAAGCAACTTTTCAAGTAACATTAGCTAAAGAGGGTAAAGCTAAAACTAAAACCTGCTATTTGTGGCAGTGAAACTTATGCTCATCCACCTAGGGAATGGCAGAGCTAGAAAGTAAATCCAGGTCTTAGAGTGTGTATGAAGCTCCTACAGTATTGGGAATTAGAAAAGGTCCAGATAAATCCAAAGGAGATGGTGTATATATATAGAAGCTGATTTCAAGACCAGATATAAGCAAAACTGCATAATAATAATAATAATAATAATAATAATAATAGAACCTACCCAAATCCCTGAGTTAGTTATGTAATCTCTGTGTAATTCATGCTTGCTCACAAGGAAAGAAAAGTTGTGTCTCCAAAGATAGGTAGGGAAGCTTATCTTTTTTTTCTCTTCTTGATTCTCCTCCTCCCCTTGCTCTCCTCTTCCTCAATTTTTGCCCATACAGATACCTCCCCACATAGTTCCAGGATCTAATTTCAGGCCTTTTTAATTTGTTTTATTGATTTTTATTGAGCTCTACATTTCTCTCTGCTACCCGCCCTTCCTCTCCCCTCCCCTTCATCCCTCTCCCAAGGTCCCCATGCTCCCAATTTACTAAGGAAATCGTGTGTTTTTTTTTTTTTCTATTACCCATGTAGATTAGACCTACTTGGTATGGGTATCAGGGTAATTGTAGACTCATAAAAAGATTTTGACAATGTACCTTCTGTTTCTAATGTATGGAATAATTTGAGGAGTATTGGTATTAGTTCTTCTTTGAAAATATTATAGAATTCAGAACTGAAACCATCTGGTCCTGGGCATTTTTTGGTTGGGAGACTTTTGATGACTGCTTCTATTTCTTCAAAAGTTAAAGGTCTGTTTAATTTGCTTATCTGGTCTTGATTTAATTTTGGTAAGTGATATTTATCCAGAAAGTTGTTCATTTCCTTTACGTTTTCCAGTTTTGTGGACAGGTTTTCAAAATATGACCTGATGATTCTCTGGATTTCCTTTGTGTCTGTTATGTCCTCCTTTTTATTTCTGATTTTGTTAATTTGGATATTCTCTCTCTGCCTTTTGATTAGTTTGGATAAAGGTTTGTCTATTATGCTGATTTTCTCGAAGAATCAACTCCTTGTCTCATTGATTCTTTGTATTGTTTTCTTTGTTTCTATTTTGTTGATTTCAGCTGTCAATTTGATTATTTCTGGCCATCCAGTTCTCTTGGGAGAGTTTGCTTCTGCTTGTTCTAAAGTTTTGAAATGTACTGCTAATTCACTAGTGTGGGATTTTTCAAGCTTCTTTATGTAGGCATTTAGTGCTATGAGTTTTCCTCTTAACACTGCTTTCATTGTGTCACATGAATTTGGGAATGTTATGTGGTCATTTTCATTGAATTTTAGGAAGTCATTAATTTCTCTCTTTATTTTATTCTTGACCCATTGATGATTAAGTTGAGCATTGTTTAATTTCCATGTGTTTGTGGGCTTTCTGGAATTAGTATTGCTGTTGAATTCATGGTGATCTGATAAGATACATGGAGTTATTCCAATTCTTTTGTATTTGGGTTTTGTGTGTGTGTGTGTGTGTGTGTGTGTGCGCGCGCGCGCTGACAGTTTATTGAGAATTGTCTGATTGGAGCTCGCATGGGTGGACATACATCAGGACTTTTTTTTTTTTTTTTTTAGTTTTTTGAGACAGGGTTTCTCTGTAGCTTTGGAGCCTGTTCTGGCACTAGCTCTTGTAGACCAGGCTGGCCTCGAACTCACAGAGATCCGCCTGCCTCTGCCTCCCGAGTGCTGGGATTAAAGGCGTGCGACACCACCGCCCGGCTGGTAGGACTTTTTTTTTTTATAATAAAAGACAATTCAAAATAAATATGTATTTAAAAAAAACTATGCCAAACACTGAGGAATAATTAACATTTACAAATTTTAAGAAAATTATTTAGGATTAATCATTTTCATTTCCCCACAAAATAAATAGCTCACTTAACTCTCATTGAGCAGGAGGAGAAGAGTCGAACAGAAATAAAGTCATGCCCATGGCATAGTCATCATGTTATTTCAGTGAGGAAAATCTTTACCAAGATTAAGACACATAAAAGTATTTAGAAAGTATGTTATAATTGTCAGAACCTGCTTTCGGGGAAAGAGAACAAGTGGCAAAGTAGAGAAAAACTTCAGGTGGAAAATCCATACCCAGTGAGAAAATTAATAAACACCCTTAAACTTACATTTTCAGGTTTTCAATATTTCAATATTAGTCTAACCTCCACCCCCAAATCCAAGCAAACACCATAGAAATTAAGTTGGCTAGGCCTAGCCAACTCTACTCTCTGTTTAGCCTTTGGAGCCTTTCGAGCCAATGACAGAAATGACTGTGGTGCAGATGGAACCAGAGAAGAGGAGAGGAGGGGAGGGGAGGGGAGGAGAAGGGA